AAATGGAGCGGCCAGTGTGGGTTAAATTGGTTGATAATTTGCGAAACGGCCCTTAGTAGGCCGAACAGTAATTTCTGAAGTAAATGGCCAGTCCGAACTAGTCTTACATTCTGATCAAGCATTCATTCGGCAAAACCATCGACTCCTTTTTATAGTGTATAGCCCGATAATCTCAGCCTTTTCAGGACATTGGTAGGACACTAATCACGCAGAATACCCGGATTAGTTGATAATTCATAATTTTGCCCTTTAGCAGTTCTGTAGTTATTTTTTTCCAGTCCTTCGTTTTCTGAAAGTGCGCTATATTTTCCAATAAAGTTTTTAATTTTTGCATATTTAGAGGATCAAAATCTAAGCATTTGATGATTTCTGGATTTTTTTTTTCAGGTGATTGCTGCACTGAAATACGCTCAACGTCGTATTTCAAGAAAACAATTTATAACGTTGTTTTTTGCTGGAGTCTCGCTGGCGTTTATGCTAGGACTTGCTGCAATTGTCCTTTTAACTTATGCTGGTTAGATCTTATACATTTTTTTTTAAAATTTTTCAGAATATGTTTTATTTGCCAATTTAAAATTGTGAAATTACGAAATTTTCGAAAAAAAATGGTAAAAAGCGGCCGTTTCAATAGAAAATATCTCCGAAATTGATTGCCTGAGTACTTCGATTAGCTTTAATTCGTAGTTTCGGTTCTCCAGCTATGCAGTTGGCAACTTTTCCATTTTCTTTAGCCATTGCTGGCGCTCAGTGTCCGGGAAAATTTAGCGCTAGTTTTGTCTCCTGTAAGAATTACACTTGCTCGTTAGTTCTTCCGATAAGAGCGTTTGGAAAGATTTCAGCCGGTCGGGTGTATTTGGCATCACCGTCTCCTGAATTACGATCTTTATGGATAAAGCGCGATTTATGGAATAGTAACAAAAATTGAATGAAAGTTTAAAAGGACAAGTGCTAAGTTGAGAGTATTATTTAGAAATTTTATACTATGTAAAATATGTGAAATTTTAAAATTTTTTACTGAAAATATCTAAAATCTTATGCAAAACTTTTTTGAATTTTTAATAAAAACATGTAGTGCACAGTAAAGAGGAATGTTTCGGCCCATTAAGTCGTACACGTCGATTTATGGATATCCTAAATATATATGTTTTGCATTTTTGTTTTTTTTTACTTTTTATGCGTTTTTGCCGTGCAGCGCTAGAGCGCTGCAACAGGCAGCAAAAACGCA